GCTAGTTAGTGAAGATTGAGCAGCTCCAGCCGAGACATGAATGAAATACTTAAATTTTGGTCTAATCTAATTCTTGTATAGATAAAGCATGGAAGAAGGAGTACTTCCTGGAGTGACAGAATAAGCCGACCATTTTTTTCAGTATCCTTAACACTGAATTGGATATAAGAATTCCACTTAAGGTCTGGGTTGGAATCGTGACCCAATAGACAATCAAAGTATGGAGTTTCCTTGAGAATGCAACCATTCATCTTCCTTAGAGAAAACTCATGGTCTGAATGGTGATGAAACCATATTCGATTGGTTTATTGAGGTGCTGAAAGTTACAAGGCAGTTTTTGTTGGTATTGAACTGTTAGAGCTCAATCAGATGAGAGATCAGCTATAAGTCTCTGTTCATCTTCATTTTTGATAGTGTGTCCATAAATACATTCTACACATAAAAATGCACATGTTTACACACATTTGCAGAACTATAACACAAAACTGGCAGTTTGGTCTGGGGTTCCTCCTACATATATAGAGATTCTTGACGAAATTCAAAGAAGGGTTTTTTTATGTAATCAACCTGGTATTTCAACTTTGGTCACTTTCTCACCAACATAACATGGCTTTCCTGTCTTTTCTACAATTTTATAGCAATTATTCTGGTAAGCTTTTCTTCATGGTGCCTCGACAACATGACTAAGCATGCTACTAAATTGTCAACTAGGTCTTATTGTTCAACTAGCTAAATGCAAGTTCTATTCTAATAATTTCTTTTCTTGAAATTCTTGCCTGTGAAACTCCCTTCTGAATTCTGTCCTGGGTAAGATGATAAACTACATCCAGCAGCAAGGCCTCTGATCAGGTTTTGAGGAGCATGGAACCACCTCTTAATTGCTGGTGTTACCAGGTCCACTCTGACCCGGGGTGGTAGCACCTGTTAGGGTCCCAGCTATGGGCAAATAGTTAACTATTACCAGCAATACTTTTTTGAAAAAAAATTATTACGAGCAATACAATTTTGAAGGAAAAATATTACCGAAAACAGATTTTTGACAAAATAAAATATTACCAGCAATAAAAAAAAAAAAATGTAAAACAAAATAAACCAAACCAATCTAAACCAAAGAATACATATTCTATTCATATGAATCTATCCTAAAAATGTTGTTGGCATTAAATAACCCATTGAGGTTGATATGCTGTAAAACAAAATAAGCCAAACTAAACCCTTCTGAATTCTTGCTACCTACAGTCTTTAAAAATTTAAATGCAATGTCAATCGTCATCTTCTGTCATCCTGAACACTGTACTTTTATTGTACTTTCTCTTCACTTCTCATCACTAAAGTCTTCTCATTCTCCAAGTAACCCCTTGTATCTGAGTGAAATTATTGCTTTGCTTGGGGTGAAATGATTTTTAAAAAATTAAACCACAAGCATTTTTCTTTTACAAATTTGATTAGTAGTTGATAATTGTACAATGACCACTGATGCCTATCAGAGTCAGAGGAGAGATCAGTTGCAAGTTTTGGTAATTATGATGATTTTCCAGTGAAAATGCATTTTATCAAGGTATCTAGCAAAAGGACACAACACAGAAAATTGTGTTAATGTCCTTCTCAAGATTATTAATACGAACATAAATGTTCTGATGAAGTTTAATCTTTGGTACCTTAACTATGAATTTAAGTGCATTACTAGATTGGTGGTATTCATTTTGCAGTCAAAATGGCTAGATGTAACCTATCACATATGCTGTAATATCTCTGCAATGGAAAAATTGTCATCTAAATGACGCAAAAATGAAAATAATACTGACATCTCATTTTAACAGATATACTTACCAAAATTACACAAAAATATCTAAAGAGTAAATTTATTCAATAAAATCCCCATTGGCTTCAACCATGGCCTCCAGGCAGTTTAAATTTGTGAATGCTGCCATAATCCTTGCTTTCAGTTCATCTTTGGCTTTACAAGGAGTTTTGTTGGTCTCTCTCTCAACTGCACCCTACACATAATAATCAAAGAGGTTACAGTTTGGGAAGTTAGGTGGTCAGATGTAAGGGGTGATGTGGTTGCATAAATTGTCTGACGACCATGACTAACAGTTTCTGTTGCACTTCTTGCTTGTGGAATTCTCTTCTGGTTTATTGCTTTCCCGCCAACTTTGAGCTTCAAAAATTTAAATGCAATATCAACCCTTATCTTATGTCCTCTTAAATTTTGTTATTTTATTGTTTTTATTCCTTAATGTTTTTTTTTTATATTCTTTCACACTGAGTAACCCCCCTTGTTAGTAGCCCTGTTGCCTTGCTTGAGGTGAAATGATTAAAAAATAAAAAGGAAAAAAAAAAATGTAGCTTTAGCCAAAATTTCAACCTGATCCTTGATTCTATTCTCCGTTTACTTATCATTAAGTCCCCGCACACCTCTTTACACACTACCAAATGGTTAAATCAACAAATCCTTTGAAAAGGCACTGTCCCCTAAGGGGTTTTGGCAGACCCACTATTTTTTTTTCTTCTTCATACTGGAAAATTCGGCTTCCTAAGTCATGGAGTTGGGAAGGTGATTGCTGAATTCCAGGAAAACATTTCATCCAAAATAAGGTTTATATGTTACTGTTGAGTTCCTGACATTAAATATTGCCTCAATTAACTGTCTACTGAAATCTGTGTCAGCAAAGGGAATAATGTTTATATTGCAACAACAGATTCTTTTTGAAATATATATCATTGTAAATGATTCTCCATGATTTCCTAGGAATCGTGTGTGTGTGTTTTTTTTGTTTTTTTTTTCTTTCATCATATTGGGCATATTTCATGAAGCTGTTAAAACAATTTTTCATCTGGAAGAATAATTCCAAAATTTTTATACTCTCCAAGACTCAGGAATTTGCTTGGTTTTAATATGAACAATTTCCCTTACTTATATATTCCTTCAAACATTATTTTTACTGGATACTTGTAGATGCTTTTTTTTTTTTTTTTTTGTTTGTTTTTAAATCCGTGTTTATTTCATCTAATGACCAGTGCACTAGAGAAAACAAAACCAAGAAAATGTGTCCCTCCAGCAGGATTCGAATCTGCATCTTCCTTTGCAGGTGAAACCAGCTTCTGATCTGGCATGCTTTAACCACTTGTCTAACGGGATTCACAGTCAAGCAAAGTTCTATTTCTGATATAAATTTATGATTCTGCGTTGACACAAAATAGTTTTTTAACTAAAATTTCAAAGTTCCTAAAGAGAATAATAAAAAAGAAATTAATTTTTACATCAAAAACTTCTTTGATCTTTCCTCTAAATAATGAAAAAGATAAAACTTGGAGGGTGGAAAATAATTCTTCTCCAACAAGAATTCAAAGATGCTTTTGAACTCAAGACTGGAAAGTGACGTCTGGGCAGCTCCCGTCCACATGTGACAACAGTACTCCATTTTCAGCCTGATCTTGCTCTTATAAAGGTAAAGGATAGCATGAGGAGTCAGGTACTTACTGGAGCGGTACAGCAAGTCGATCATTTTGGCTACAACTTTAGTGATGGATCATATATAAGAATTTCACTTGAGGTCAGGTATGAGTTTGAAGCCCAATATCCTCTCAAGTCATACAGCATTTCCCCAAACTTTTGACCTTTTAGTATAAATACAAGAATATTCTTTAAAAAACAGTCTTCTTTTTATTATTCCAGTAAAAATAGCATACTTTATATTATTTACTAGGTTTTTTCTTTTCTTGAATGGTATGGATTTATAACATGCATCCATAAAATTCTGGATGTAAAGATGTCAGTTTCTCTACATTGTTTTCCCAATCTGCTGAAAAGTTCTGTAAGATTAAATTGATGGGGACTGATCTAGAATTTGCTATTTTTCATTTCACTGCACTGCCTTCAGGAAACAAAAATGAAAGTAATTTAATGCAAAATGCTTTTAATGGAGCCACTTGCTAATGAGCAACAAAACAAGTCTGTATTTTGTTGAAACCTTGAGAGGCTCATGTGCAGAATGTTAATCCTCTATTGAACAGTTGCTAAATCTTCTTAAGGGAGGCAATAAGTAGGATTATCTTAATCCAAAGCAGTAGGTCGTCTTACAGGAAATAAATTGAAATTCTCTTACGAAGGATTTTTTTTTTTTTTTTTTTTTTAGCATGGAGGACCAAAATACACAAAAAATATTTTGAATCTTTCAATAAGAGGCGTAGGCAACCTGTGACCTGTGGGACAGATCTAGCCTTACTGGAAATATTGAGATGCTATATTCATCCAGGCTGCAAACCTTTCCTTGTTTTGAAGGATTCACTTGACCACACTAATTCAAACATGGCGTTTTGTTAAACTGGACACAGGTTTGGTTTAGCAGTTATACTGAGTGTACCTAAAGTCTGGACATTTCTCATTAACTATATTTTTTTACCTCCACAAATTAAACATGATTTTGTTGAAAGAAGAAAGAATTGACTTCTTTTTTCTGGGTATGCTAAAGGAGAAGGTGTATTCAATGAAAATCACATTTACAACACACTTGAGTGAATGCATAAAGAGTGTATGTACTAAAATTGACAGCAATGTGGATTTATTGCATCGAGTTCACATGAATCTTGCAAAACACATCAACTTCTGCATCATAAATGATGGAAATCATATTGAAGATGTTATTTCTTAATATTCCATTTCAATAAAATGCTGAAAAACCATTTCTTGAAAATTTGCATTTTTGCCCATGTGTCCAGACATTATGGACACCCTGTGTATGCATTGATTTATCAGCTGTTTGCATTAAAAATGAAGTATTGTTTATTACATTCATAGTTTTTATATTTTAAAGATTCTTTATGATTTTTTAATAGATTAAAAATATTTATTTGACTTGACACTGCTTCATCATCCCTCTATTCTGAGTCTGTAGATTAATTCAGTGTGGAAACTTATCTGGAAAATCTTGTGGCACCAAGGCAGCCTATGGACAATCTTCTTCACTTATTTGTGGTAGTTACTACCACAGAAGACTATGGCCCTTTTTAAAGAATTTCTTTGTTTCGTTCATGAACCCCTTATTGAATTGGTTGAAAGCCAACTTTAGTAAAAGGATATTTGAGTTAATAGCTTTCTAACCATGGTTGGCTTAGCTAGTTTCTTTGTTTTTTGGCACTATTGATGTCTTCAGTGTCTGTAATGAAGTCACTTCATTGAACTTTGAAAATGGTATACAGGCAACAGTCGTACAAGTGTTTAAAGAGGAACAGTATGCCTACTGTAGAGGAGAACAGACAGTACGATACCTTTTAGACTTTTAGGTTGGTGACTTTTTCTTTATTTTGCAGAGGCGCAAAGATGACTTGTAACAGAGAATTTAGTCAGCCCAATAAATAATGCAGAGTTGGTTGTATGTGGTGCTGTAAGCATCAGGAGTTCCATCCCTTTCCATAATGAGCTGTTGAGAGAAGACCTTCGACGAGGTTGCACTGACTATTTGCATATGAATGATACTTGGCAGGTATTAACAATAGTCGGTGGGGTTCTGGCACTGGGAGAGCTATATAACACCAGTGTTTTTCTCAGTTGAGTGAGTCACTTTGTGCAAAAACCAGACAAGATGAACACATGACTCTAGTTGCTCGACATCACATAGTTCAAAGAGGGTATTTATGCATTTGTGAATGAATGGGACAAGTGCATCAATATGGATAATGAGTATGTGCAACAGTAGCATACTAGTTTTGGTAACATATGCATAATGTTTTATTTGGATGTGGCCACAATCTTAACAACATAACATATGCAGATGATGCAGTGTTGATAGCAAATCCAGAAAGGAATCTTCAAGAACTCTTGCAGAAGATGGTAAAGGAAAGCAAAAAGAAAGGAGTAAACATCAGTTGTAAGAAGATAGAATATATGTTTGTCAGCAAAAGGAACAGCTCAACATGCGATTTACAAATTGGGGATACCAAAAATCAAGCAAGTAGAAAAAATTTAAATATCTGGGAAGTGTTTTAACAGAGGATGTAAAGTGCAACACCAAAATCTGAATGAGCATTGGGATAGAGCAAGATGCCTTTCAAAAGCTAAGCAAAGTATTAAGAAATAAAAAAAAAAAACTTTCATTAGAAAGAAAGAGTACTAAACTCTTATGCAATATCAGTCCACCAATATGATAGTAAATGCTGAACAATCATATATCTGATGAACAGAAATGTGTTTCTACAGAAGCATGTTGAGAATACCATGAAGTTAACATATGATTAACAACAAAGCAGTGCATAACGTACCTAATGAACATATGTATATGGTTGGTAGAATAGGAATTAGGTGAGATAGCAAAAAGATAAACTTTACTAAGAGTTACAAAGGACAGTCATTATTGCCCTTGTCCTGAAGAAACATGGCACATCATAGAAGAAATATGTTGGATTGTTAAGTATGGTTAAGCGAAAGACAGTGGAAAAATCCTGTGTGATGCATTAAGGTTTACACACATATAAAAAATAAGTAGTTTTATTCCAGAGAATAACATGGTATATTGTCGAGAACACAGACTAATGTAATAAATAGTTAACCGTTAACTACTCAGTATTTAGCTGAGATCTCCCTACAAAGTGGGATGTGACCCAAAGCTCGTTTTTAACATGGGTTTTTCCACGCACATACTCTCAGGCAATAATTTCCTGTAGACCTCACATAGATGGGGTTGGTCAGCTGTCTACCTCTCCAGATGAGACTCTGCCCATAGGCAAAACCTCATCTGAGTTCCTCTCTGCCCAGAGGCAGAAAGTCTACAAGCAGAGTTAACTGTAATCATTAACTCCTTGGTATTTACCCGAGACCTCCCCACAAGGTGGGATTTGGCGCATGGCTGGATTTTAACATGAGGCATTCCGAGCCTGTAGGCCCAGGCAAAAATTGCCCATAGACACTGTATACATAGGGTCGGGTAGCTGTCTACCTCCACAGACGAGACTCTACCCTTTGGCATAGCCTTATCTGAGTTCCTCTCTGCTTGGAGACAGAAAGTCGACAAGCAGAGTTAACTGTAATTGTTAACTCCTCTCCCTTGGTAAAAGAGAGTGCTGTTTAAATAGTCTTAGACCTATCCATCTTGTGGGGGTGTTCAGCTACTCCACAACAGTAATATTAGTCATTTTCCTATAAGGAAACATTTGGCATTCATTGATTGTATAGCTAGTAATCTTTTCAATTGAAATTTATAAAATCTTTCTCTTAAAACATGTTTTTAGGAAAATAGATTTCTCAAATCTGGTAGTTGTTATTACTCTTTCTAGTACTGATGGTGGTTTCCTTTCAAACCTTTTATTTGATGTGATGTGAAGTGTTAACATATGTCATTACCTTCTCTTAGAGTTACATGTGCTATCCATTTTAGTTGTTGTTGCTGTTGGTAGTCCTCAAGTGATGCGGTTTCTGTCATTTTGATAATAGCGCTGAGTTTATTTTTGCTCTCCTTTTTTTCTTCTTTCTTTTTGCTCTCCTTTTTTCTTTTTGCTCTCCTTTTTTCTTTTTGCTCTCCTTTTTTCTTTTTGCTCTCCTTTTTTCTTTTTGCTCTCCTTTTTTCTTCTTTCTTTTTGCTCTCCTTTTTGCTCTCCTTTTTGCTCTCCTTTTTTCTTTTTGCTCTCCTTTTTTCTTCTTGCTCTCCTTTTTCTTCTTTCTTTCTGCTCTCCTTTTTTCTTCTTTCTTTTTTGCTCTCCTTTTTTCTTCTTGCTCTCCTTTTTTCTTCTTTCTTTTTGTTCTCCTTTTGCTCTTTAACTCTCTTTTTGCTCTTATTTTTCTCGTTTTTTTTGCGCTTTTTCTTTTTCTCTTCTTTCTTTTTCCCTTCATTTTTTTCCCCACTTCTTTTTTCTTTCCCTTTCTCTTTTTGCTCTTCTATCTTTCTCCTCTCTTACCTCCCCTTCCGTCTCTTTTCCATGTTCCTGTTATTTATTTTTAAACTTTTAAGAACAGATGTTTCAGTATGATTTTTTTTTTTATCGATATGACGTGCTGCTGAAATCAAGGTCCAATCCACGTCCCCAAATCAGTCTTCTGATCTTTGGCGAAGGAAATACTGATTTTTGGGAGGTAGGTCAGATTGGGAATTTTTCAGCACCCACTCTAAAATAAATTTACTGTAAGTAAAGCAAGTTTTTTGCCTAAATTTTGAGATCAGTTCTTTGTCTTTTTAATGAAGAAGGGATGATCTTTACATTAATGTATTTCAGCAGTTACTCATTTTACAGAAATGACAAATTATATTTGATATACATTAAAACTCGATTTAACGTATATCGGATTTAAGGACATGGCCCATAACACTAATGGTTTGTTTTGCTATTCTATAAATTTAAGAAATTAAAAATTGAGAAACTGTAAAATAAGCTGAATTCATCTCTTCTCCTCACAACTCCCCAGATGTGGGTTAAATAGTTCTATAGCCTTGATTTTTAACCAGTCTACTGCAGAGAGGAACAGTAGAGAAAGAAAAAGATAAAGAGTGTGTATCACATAACACTTGTGCTGCATCTAAGATACGCTTATTAAAGGAGTCGACCATAGTTGGGACCATCGAGTGAGTGCAAAGGACCCTTTCCTTAGCTGCATAGTATGTGCTTCTCCAGATCTCATTCAGTTTTCCTTCTCCTACAATTCAAACATATTTGAAGCTCATTTAGTTTGCATTAGAAGGAGGTGAAACAGAGAAACCGCTTTCACTACATTTTTGGTTCAGTTTTGAACATTACAGCTGACAAAGCAAAATAAAAGAAATAGTATTTTATAGTAGCCTGGGGACCATCATATTTTTTTCTATGTGCTCTGCTCCTTCGGGACATAGGAAATCATGGCTCTCTGCAACTTCCTGTCCTTTTGTCGCTCTTAATAAGGTTTGTGTTTTTGCTATCTCTCCTAATCCCTGTCCTGTCAACCAATTGCACATGCTCATTAGGTAGATTATTTGCTGCTTTCTTTAGTCTCTTTTACCTTTACTATGTTCTGTGAGTATCAAATTTTCCAAGCCTTTATGGGTCCTAAAAATTTCAATGATCTGTTTCTGATTTGAAATATATCCCGTTTTTGTTTCAATTTTCCCTAAAATATCCTCATTTCTCACATATTCAGTCCATGGCAATCTATGCATCCTTCTGTACAAACTAAAAAAAAATAGGATTTCTGTATTTTTTGTTAATGGGAGTGATTTCAAGTATTGAGAATTGGTTTATTGAATTCTATTGACTTTTTAATCAGCTGACAGAGTGCCAAAGGTCTATTGTGTTGTGCCACGACTAGGTTGATAAGCTAGTTGAAGTCAATGGAAGATTGAATAAAGATTATTTGCGATCCTACTCCCAATGATTATAATGAAAAAATTGGTAAAATTGTGGCTTCCCCACCACCAACAAAGCTTTGCCAGTATTGCGGGTCGATGCATGCGTTGAGATAAACAGGTGTATTTCCTGAAATACCCACAATAAAGATGGCAGACTCGGAATATGAGTCCACCTAAAAAAAATGTAAAGAAACAACAAGGCCCAATATATGTGTGTACAAACAAATGATAATGTATTCACAAGAAAGGGTTACAAGTGACAAAGACAATAACAATGTGTGTAACAAATGAATGTGGAAACATTTTGGTCCAAAGTATGTGAAGTGAGTAAATGTGTGTACTTATGTGTACATGTATGTATTAGGTTGGTGCAAAAATAATGACGTAAGAATGTCGTTTTTTGACGTTACGTCAAAAAACGACCTTATTACGTCATTATTTTTGCACCAACCTAATATTTTTCATGCGTTTCCCAAAAAGGGAAACGTGTTATAATCGCATTCTTCCGCGAGAACTTTGACATGTTGTCATAAATGCGGAAAAGTAAGAAGAGAATTATAAAATTTTATCGCAGAGTATTTATAGTGCTGGAGAACGCCTCCTAGGAGCAGTTTCAAAAATTAGGAGGATGTGACCCAATAGCACATTAGCAAGAAAGGTATACATTTTAATTCATTTTTTTAAAGCAAGGGAGCTAATTCACCAATAGCCATAGAGGTGGATGCGACACCAGGACACCATTAAGTGGCGCTGTAAAACAGCTATAAAAATGGGACATTTCCTGTTTTCTTTCTCTTTTCTCCCCTTTCCTTCTAGTATGCAGCAAAAGCAACACCAGCACAATACTATATTTCCCCAGGTGACTGAACTTTAACAAACACACAGGTGTACCACTAATACATACAGACACACGATTCCTAATTGTTAACTTTTAAATCTTTCTTTTCAGCTGCCGTATATAGTTGAGTCTAGTGCAAATTTTTTATTTTTTTTTTTTTTTTTTTCCACAAAAATTAAGATGTCGTACTGTCGGAGTTAACTCCTCCTTAATTCCCTAATTGTTCACTAGGGGTCGCTCTCCCTACACTATAAATACTGGGCGACTTCTTCCTCGTTCTCTTTTTACTTTGCATTTCAGCGCACACATTTAAAAATGTGATCTTTCGCAGAGATCTGCGCTTCGCCCACTTGTGTGAAAACGCCATTAAACACACGTACGTACAAACTTTCACCAATATACAAACTCGTTACGTTCACACACAAACACAGATGTTGATGTCTTTATCACTTGTAAATTTGCTGTCTAATACATATATTTGTTGACATATATCTCGCTCTTGTTTGTTTTCTTTACATCTTCGGTTGGACTCAACTTGAGTCCGCCATGTTCTTGTAATTGGACCTTCTTCTAGCCGAAATAAATAGCACTTGTTTCTAATTTAACATGTAAACACGCGGTCCTCTCCAGTACTATACACAAGTAATTTTTCTGAAGAGGTTAAATATCATATATTTTCAGTGAGCGGTTGCACTATACAAAGGTAAATTTTTCTGGAGAGGTTAAAATTAATGCAAAAAAATTCAGGGTTTGTATTATACATTAAGTCGGCTTATACACGGTTCTATACGGTATATTCTCATGCATATTTATGCATTTTCTCTTTTTTATATACTAACATACGAAAATATTGTCTTGAAATTTATTCCATTTCCTTTCATCTCTAACAATGAAAACCCATCATATACATGTGTAAATTTTCTTTGCCACTGCTTTTAGTCCAACTAGAGACTGTACCGTAACAAAATTTAACAATCATATCCAGAAAGAAAAAAACAAACAGGGAAAGACGCTGTCAAAAGGAGTTTGATAAACTTTCAGCTGTGTCCTTGGGCGTAAGCTTGTCGGTAAAAGTGGCTACATGTCTGAAGACAGTTCCGTTGAAGTTGCCGGTACCTTCTGGAGTGAGTGCGTCTACTAGTTTTTGGGTTACCAACTTTATTTATATATCCTTCCAGAGGATTCACAAGGTGGGCCCGAGAAATATATTAAATAGACCCGAAGAAACTTGGAGCAGTGTAGTCATTAGTCAAGATTTATATTTTCTACGACATTTTGCTTTGGTTTGTGCTTATGTGGGTCTGAAATTTTATTTGCGCCAAAAATAGACCACAAGGGGGAAAAAAGGTTACGAAACTGTTCTATAAACTATATAGTTTCCGAGCTTAGAACTTTTGAACAACAAAATAGAACGACTTGATTGGTTCGTTATTGTTTCTCGTTGTCATTTGGCCTGCTTCTATACAACGTCTGAATATTAAACGAATTCAGTGAAACTTATTTTAAAATTTACAAATTCGAAGGCACGACTATTATTTTTTGTGTAGCCCATAAACTCGGTTGTAAAAATGTAAATAAACTGTAGTTTAAAATTTCGCCAGTTGCTAGTTTAACAATTATATTGTGATTAGTCTCAAACACAGCAGTAAATTTTTCATCCCATGGCTTTTTGCATGAAAAAAAAAATGGAAATTTTTGTAATAACCAACTTACACCAGTATTGCAAAGTTTTTTTGTGAAAGTGTAGAGTAATTAGCCATGGTAAAGTGTAGGTACCTCAAAGATTCGCTAAAATATGAGCATACCATGATGAAAAAATACCCCAAAGTTAATAAAAACAAAATTTTGTTAAATAAATTATTAAGGGGAAAGACCAAAATATTTTTTGATTTATTATTTTTGAAAAGATTGAAATTTTGGTTAAAAGATCTTGTTTTTCTTGCGTTAGTGTAATGGGGGTACCAAAGATCAGTATAGGAAATTTTAACATTTTTAAAACAATTTTTTCGTTGAAAAATATTGATTTGAAAATTCTTGCAAAAATCAAATAATTGTCGGATTTCAAAGAAACTTACAGGAGTTCATTCGCAAATGAATGAAATAATTTTAGAAATGTTTCTCCTTCAGAAAAAAAACATTTTTGATTTTTACATCTGTTACAACACTTATTTCATCTTTTCTTTCAAGAAATTTATTTTTGTACTACTTAATGCTTATTGGTTATACGCCGAACTCCTTGGAGAATTTAAATCATCGATTCATTATTTTTTTGTAAAACAGGATCACCAGTTACCAAAAATCTGCTCTGAATCATAAAATAAAAATATACAATAAAACTAAGACATTATTTAATTAGAAAAACTTTTAATTACTTATTAAATTATATTATGAACACTATTGTTTTGAGAAAAAAAATTCGATGAACAATGAATTTTTACAATGATTATTTTCATTTTTTTAAAATTTTAATTACAGTAATCTATAAAATTTTAAATCTTTTAAATTTCTGTATTAATTTGTACCGGTGATGTGATATTGTTATATAGTAAAAACTATATTAATCACAAAAGGGAAAATCTTACTACAAGTCAGCGACCGCCAATATTTTAAGAAGAATTTGTATAATGTATAAACGGGCCGGGTTTTGTAAATACGGGCATCCATACACGATATTATCTGAAAATAAGAGCGATAACTTTGATAAATTTAAAAATAAAGTACCTAAATTTCAAGAAAACATTAGCTTACAGAGAATATTTTCCTAATTTTTAAAGATTACTGGGTAGAT